ATGCCCATGAAATTCCCACCCCCAAATCACCTGTGAATATAATCTCTGTGTTCTACACTTCCCTTTTTTGACCCCTTTTGATCATTTTAATATCAATTGTTTGGTATACAACTATTTTAGAAATCAAAATGGCAAAATTACAGAGCAGGGAAACAGACTATGGTTATTGTTAATGATAGGGGGTGGTTGACTGTAAAGGAAAAGCATAGGGAGTCACTTCCCAGTGATAGAACAGTTCTGCATCTTATTGTGAAGGCGGTACATGCATCTCCATAAACTCAACTGTACAGAAATACACACACACAATAACACATGTGCATATAAAATGTGAAAATATGAATGAAGCATTTAGTTAATAGTATGAGATCAATGTGATATTCAAGATTTTGACATTTTACTAGTGATAAATGCTACCATTAGAGGAAACCTACCATTAAAGGATATATAGGATTGTACTGCATCCATGTATATATATATCTTACTAATGACACACAATCATTAGGTACACATACATGGAGTAAACAGTCCATAAACAATGCTTATATATATATTTTAAAAGAAGTATAAGGGAGTCACTGTTGATATTTGTCCTGAGAGTGGATCAGAGGGATTGAGAGGATTTACCAGGGACAGAAACAGATGTATTGACTGAAATACTCTGCTGAGGGGAGCAGCAGGAGAGACAGGAGAGGTCTGCTATACCATGTGGGTCAGCTCCCTGGCCAGGGGATCAAACTTGTGCTTCAGTGGCTGCTGATAGTCTCATATTGTTGATACTTAACCCCTTGCGCCACCAGGGAGGCTCTCACTTTATATTTTTATTTCTGTAATACTTAACTGCCTTTTAACAAACTCTGAATTTTGTCCTGCATTCATTGACTATTCCCCTCATGAGGGTAGGGATTTTGTTTTAGTTACTGCTGTATCCCTGGTACCTAGAATAGTGCTTGCACATAATAGGTGTTCTAGAAATATTTGTTGAACAAGTGAGTTCACTATTTATGTAAAAGGCGTTTCTGCGAAACCCCCAAATTTCCCTCCTCTCAAAAAGCCTTCTTTCAAATGTTTATTACCTATCGCAACATTGCAGCTTATTGCAGCATCCCCAGTTTACAGATAAGGAAACTGAGGCTGAAAGAGGCATTTGTTCATTTAAGAAATACCGAGCACATCTGTGAGCTAGAGACACAAATGGTGAAGACTGGGTCCCTCCTCTCCCTCACAACGCGTTTAGGAGGAAAGGTCAGGAGAGACTCGGGTGCTCTGGGAATACGGAGGAGCCCTGCTAAGGTTCATGGGTCTTCAAGACAGTGCCCTTTGCACTGCCCATACCACCCCATGACCTCAGCCGTTGCATTTGGATATAACTTGTCAGTGCTCCAGCTCCTGGGCTTCTGGAAGTCACTATCCAGTTCAGTCCTTCACTGCTCTTTAGCCACTTGTGCTTTGTTTTACCTTTCCCTTTCTTCCCTGCCACCGGACATCCCCCTTGAGAGCAAACATCTAGAAATATTTGGGCAGACCTCCTCTGCCCATGTGACAGACACCCAGAGACTTCCATAGCAGATCTGTCATCACAGCAAGTGAGAGACAGGGTGGGGACCTGGGCTCCCCCCAGCCCTGCCCCGGCCAACTCCAGTAGGTTCTTTTCCTCTGGACCTCCCTCCCTGCCCTCTTCTGCTTCTTCTGGAACTGATCTACATGCTCTCCCAGGGGAGAACATTTGGAGTCTGTAGTTAGGATTGAACATTCAGGATAAGTTTCTGGGACTCCAGCTTCAGAGAGGGCAAGCCATGACCTGGTTGCCCAACAGGCCTCAGATGGAGGCCATTCTGGCGGTGTAGTGGTGGTGGGCATGGTGTATGTGGGGGCCCCTCTGAAAAGAACCTTGAGGGAAATTCAGAATGAAACCCCCCTCCTTTCTTCTGACTCTTTCCACCAAAGATGGGGAGGTCCAGGATAGGAAGGGTTAAGTGTGGTTTTGTTTCCTTTGCCAGGAAGGGAAGCCAGGCCAGTCTGGGACTGGGTAGGGTTGGGGGGCTCTGTGCCAGGGGGGAAGCTGAGACAGTGGGAACAACAGGAGCCTGTCCCCTCACGTGTCGGTGGCTCGCCCGCCCCACCTCCATTCCTGGTTTGGGGAACAGAAAAGGGAGAAGCAATAAACTTTTTTTTTTCTTCTGGGACTCTGAGGGTGGGCAGACTCCAGAGGAGAGGGCTGCAGGGAGGGCAAGCCATGATGGTTGCCCACTACATTGCCCAGTGACCCTCAGAGATGGGAGAACTTCAGCATCGTCTCTGGTCCCCTCCCCGGACACTTGAGTCTCTGCCTTATCCCACCCCAGCCCTTTGCTATCTGAGGCCAACTCAGAGTCCAGAATGGAGGACCTGTCCAGCTCTGCTTCCCTCGTGTGTTCTAGAAACCCTGACATCCTGGAGCTGTGGGCGTTAGCAACATGATTTAATTTCCCAGGTTCTTCATCAGAGAATAAGCTGTGGGCGGCCCAGGTCAGAAATGAGAGTACATGGGTTATGGAGCATCAGTTCTGCCATTCTTAGATGAGTTGGGCGTGGGTCAGGGCCAGGATTAGCAAGCCAGAGTGGAATTTGGATCAGAGGGTCCTTGGTGAAGCTGAGGGTGAAGGCTGCTGAGCCGGACTGGGAAAGCCTGGGGACCTGAGCCATCCTGTTTGGTGACAGGGCCTGGCCCCTCCCTCCTCAAAAGCCAGTTGCAAAGCCAACCTGGTCCTAGTGGAATGTAGAGATAGATGTTGTGCTAGCCTTTGCAGCCAGCAGGGTTGGGGGGGGTATCTTTGCTCTCCCTGCTCCCCTTTCTGGCTGAAGCCAGGATGGAGACCCAACCCAATGTTGGCTAGCCATTCTCTTGCCCTTCTCCCCATTTCAGGCCCCTCTGGGAACCACAAAAATGTGGGACCTGGTGAACTGGCAACATGATGAATGCACATACAGCTCTGGTGTCTGTTTTAAATTATCCATTAAAATAAGTACAGTCTTAGAAAAAAGTAAGTACAGTTCTGGAGTTGGCAGGGTGGGGTAAGGAAGAGAAAGGGACTGATGAGAGAGGAATTAGGCAACTTCTTTTTCCAATTGCTTGGGTCCAAAGGAACGGAGGAGAGGAGAGGGGACACTTGGGTCCCATTCCTGACCTTTGAGCTCCTGTGGCTTGTTGCTTGGGTCTAAGGCCCAAGTGCTTGATTTTGAAGAGATATAAATTGGAGCAAGATAGGAAAAGAGAATTCAAACTCCCAGTCTCTGCCCCAAAGTTGAGGGTGCAAAGGAACTCAGGATCCAAAACTGTGCTTGGGCCTGCCCTCCCAGTCCCCCAGGGAACCCAGGCATTCCTTCCCCACCCCACCCTGGCATAATGAGATTCAGCTTTGAATGGGCTGCCCACATGTGGGGGGGGGGTAGATGACTCACTATTACTATGGGGAGGAAAAGGGGAGCCAGTGTTGGAAGAAGAGTGAGTCACCCTGATGGGCATCAGCCTCAGTCCTCCCCCCACTCTCCAGGATCTGCCTGCCCAGCTCCCTTTCTTTACACCCACTTTCTCTCACCAGTGCCCGTTGCCCATTCTCACCTCCTGGGCTCTGCCTTTACCCCAGAAGATCTGTAGCAGTGGGGCAAACTCGCAGCGGGGATCGCTGAGGGGAAGGAACGGACCCCCGCTGCAAGGAAGGACTGAGCGGACTGGGGGCACGGCAGAGGACCTGACTCCGGGGAAGCCTGAAGGTTCTCTCCCCACCTCACCCCTCCCGCTCTGCCCACCTCCCTTGTGCGCGGTCCCTTTAAGAGCGGTGGCCCCTCCTCCCACTGCCTAGACCTATTAGAGCCTTTGCCCCGGCGCCGGTGACTCAGTGTTCGCGGGAGCGCCGCATCCACACTTGGGCCAGCCCAGATCCCCAGGTCCGACAGCGCCCGGCCCAGATCCCCAAGCCAGCCAGGAGTAAGCCGAGAGCTTGCGGGCCTGCGCGCTCCGACCCGCGCAGTCTCTGTCCTTCGGCCCGAGCTCCGCGCCCATCCCGGGACCCCTGCCCCCAGGGCAGCGCTGCCACCCTGCCGGCCATGGAGACCCCGTCCCAACGGCGCGCCACCCGTAGCGGGGCGCAGAGCAGCTCCACCCCGCTGTCGCCCACCCGCATCACCCGGCTGCAGGAGAAGGAGGACCTGCAGGAGCTCAATGACCGGTTGGCGATCTACATCGACCGTGTGCGCTCGCTGGAGACGGAGAACGCAGGTCTGCGCCTTCGCATCACCGAGTCTGAGGAGGTGGTCAGCCGTGAAGTGTCCGGGATCAAGGCCGCCTACGAGGCCGAGCTCGGGGATGCCCGCAAGACCCTCGACTCTGTGGCCAAGGAGCGCGCTCGCCTGCAGCTGGAGCTGAGCAAAGTGCGCGAGGAGTTTAAGGAGCTCAAAGCGCGGTGAGTGCGCCCAGGTGGCGGCGTGCGCGGCGGACAGTGGAAGGGTGGGGGGGCGTCGGTCGCCCCCGCCGGGCTCCATCCTGGCGCCTGTTAACTTTGCCAGAGCGTCTCTTCCGTCCCCGGAACTGTCCCCTGCGGGTGACTGGCAGTGCCAAGGGGAATTGTCAGGACCGGACCGAGAAGGGAGGGGTCTCTGGGTAAGGGACCGTAGGGGCGACGAGGCCAGGTTGGGCTGGTGGCAGGCCCACGTTCTGTCAAGGTGGGTTCGCCAGCCATTGGAGCCTAGGGGAGGGGCTTGAGCTGAGTAGAACTGGCTCTGCCAGGTCGCTGAAATCTGGGCACCCAGGACACTCCACTCCGGAGTGGGTGAAAGGGTCCTGTTAGAACTTTCTTGGTAGTCTTGGCACTGTGCCAACGTTGCCCAGCTTGGTTCTGTACTTGTCTACTTAGACTTCCCTAGCTGGCAGATGTTCATTGCTGCTGGGGAAAGGTGATTGAATCTAGGCTACACCTTTTTGGTAGGTAGCCCCTGTAGCAAGACCCTTCCTAGGGTCTTTCTAAGAGCAGGGACACCCCCTGCCTTTCTGCCACCTTGCCTACACTGTGACAGGCCCACCAAACTGCTCCTGGAGAGCAGCTCGCCTCCCCCGCAGCTCCCACAGCCCTTGGCCTGCCAGGCCTGGAATGCAAGGGAGGGAGGGAGGGAGAGGACAGAGGCTCTGGGCTCAGGAAGTTGTGTTTTGCCCAGGTCTGGCGGCTACCTCCCCTTGGCCCTTTGCCTGGTGTCTTGGAGGGTTTGGGTTCTGACCATCCCTGTCTCTCTCCTTGGGGTGAACCACTTTCATTTTCCCAGCCATGCCGAGCAGTCCTCTCTCTGGCCCGCCCTCTCCACCACTGACGTTTTTTGATCTTTGCCTTATTCGACTGCTGGAGTACAGTGACATTTTTGAAATGCAGCCGTTGGGAGCTCCAGGCCACTCCTATATCACCCATTCCTGCCCCACCCGACCCCACCCTATTTAACTCCACCCTCTTTTTTTCAAAAGAGGGTGGAGTCTGAAAGTTTAGGCCCCCTCTTCTTACAGCTCCCCAATAATTTGGTTTCCTCCCCTCTATCCCCCTTTTCTCAATGAAGACCCAGATCAGAGAGCACATAAAGTGCTGGGAGTCTATGCTTTTGCTCCCCTCTCTCTTCTGTCTAAAGTAAATCCATGCTCTTCGCAGAACTTCTGTGTATTCTTACTCGTTCTCTAGCCTTTCACGTACCCCCACCCCTCCAATAGTAAGTGTGATAGATCTATGGCCTTGTGAAGAGTAGGTGGAGATTGTGTGGCACAACAGGCGGACTTTTATTTCTGGTGAAAGGGACACTCTTGTCTTTTTCCACTAGTGACATGAACACTCAGTTAGCGGGACAGACGGTAGGCAGGTAAGGGGAGCCCCAGAATTAGTGTTCTGAGCCGGTCCACTCAATTGCCAGAGCCCCCTTTGCGCTCCTGTGGAGGAACAGAGTATTTTCTGGGGAAGACATTGACAGGGGAACAGCACAAGTGGTGTCTTGGTCTCTTGCTAACGCTGCCACCCCAGGCTATCCCGAGGCTCCTGGTGCAGCTGTCCAGGCCTGGACGCCAGGCGGGCGTGCGCACGTGGGGCATGGCGGGGGTGGTGTGTGAGCTTGTTATATTTAGCCACCTGCTTCTCTTCTCCCCCACTGATCCTAAGTGGGGAGGTTGGGCTTCCGGAAAAGGGGGGTGGGGCTGCACACCTGAATCCTAGCTGATGGAGCCAGGTCTTGGACTGGGGTGCCATTTCCCTTCTATGTCCCCAGTGGGAGAAGCCCAGAGCTGTTGTTCCCTTTTGTTTCCTCTGTGTTAGGGTGATGTGGAAAAGAGAAGAATGAAGAATTTTGGAAAGGAAGAAAGGCATTGTTCTAGCTCCTCCCACTAAAGCCTAGAGAAAAGGTGTCTGGTTTAATATTTAATTGGAGCTCAGAGTTCAGGGCCAGGCTTGGGTTGGGATGTAGAGTTGCCTATAAGGTCCTGTGGCATGTCCTAGCCCAGCCTGAGTACCTTGACCATACAGGGATTTTGGGGCACTCTATTGTCAGACTGGGCTCCAAGCAGAACCCCACCCCTATCCCAAGCACACAAACACACCCTCTCTCTCTTCTGGAGCTTAAAGGATCTGGACACTGAAGCGTGAGGAGAGTGAGAGGGTGAAAAGCACCAGGGAAGCCCGCCTGGGGTCCAGATTTGGAGCTGGGCACCACCCCAGTCAGGACAGCTGGGTAGATGACTCAGATGCTGCCCCCCTTGTTCCCATCCTGGTGGCTTTACAAGAGACAGCAGAACAGGGTAGAGATGCCACCGGAGGGATGGGGGGACCTGGATGTCTGCATCTTCTGGGCTGCCTCCACTCCAACACACACACACACAAATTTGGGTTCTTACCTGCCTCCTTCCTTAGAACCTCTGGAACCAGGGCTCCAGGTGGGCAGTGTACATGTGTGCGTTTAGAGTGGAGTCCAGAGTTCTGGGCTTGGGCTGCAAGATGGGGCAGTCTGCCTTCCTTTGTGGAACTGATGGAGGAAACCTGAGTCAGAAGTGGGGAGATCCTGGACCCACAAAGCAGAAGCACCTCTTCCGCCCAGACGAGGCCTGGGTGCCAATGACTTCCTGGATTGCCCTCCTTTCTTGGCCTGGGCGGGGATGAGAAGGGAGGTTGCAGGCCCAGAGTCATCTCTAAGCAAGTATAAGAGCAGCAAAGTCAACAGAGCTGCAGCAGTTTGTCCCATGTTACACAGCAAGGGAGTGATGGGTCAGGATTTGAGCCCAGGCCTTCTGGCTACCAATTACTCAATGTACCATTAACCTTACTTCTCTAGCTTAGGGGACAGGTTGGAAGGTAGGGTAGAGTGACTGAGGTTCACTCTGCATCTTGGAGATTTTGCCCTGGGACCAGGGATGCTCTGCTGTCCTGCCACGACCTGGATCAAGAGCCTTTGTCCTACCTGGACCTGAAAAGACCAGTACCCCACAGACCATGAGAGCTCTAAGAGGATGGGACTCCTGTCTTAAGATTGTCTTAAGACATGTTATGGGCCCTCCCTGGTAGTGCAGCGGGTTAAAGCACAACTATGAAGCTATCCGTAGCCACTGCAGCACAAGTTCTATTCCCAGCCAGGGAGGTGACCTACGTGGCACAGCAGACCTCTCCTGACCTGCCCTCTGCTCCCCTCAGCAGTGTATTGCAGTACATCAGCAGTATATTTCAGTACATCTTGAATGCATAAATAAATAAATCCTTTTTTTTTCAAGAATATGACTTTAATTCTTTGAAATGCCATTTATGATGGTAGTAATAATATAAGATTTCCTTTTAAATAAGTCACTAAAAATAAAAAATATTAATGTAAATATTTACCTTATATAAAAGCTGTTATGATGACAACTTATTTAATTTTATAAAACATAACCATAATTCAAACCCTAACTTAATCTATATATCATTGTAGGAACTTCTTCCCTTCACATGCGTTTTACACTTCATCAAATTTTTTTTAATAATATAACAGTTTATTTTTACATCATTTTGTACATTTTTTTTCCATCTCAATTGTAATCCCCGTGGGTTTCCCATCACCAAGTCACCCATGTGCCATCACCATAGTCCCGTGCAATTTCCTCCTCCCCGCCCCTTGCCCCCCCCCCATTTTTGATCCCATTCCCCACTTCACACCCACAAAATGTCTCTGGTATATGGTAAATAAATCTTTTTTAAAAAATTAAAAAGGGACATGTTATGGGGACTATCTGTCAGGACCCAAAGGCACCTGTGTGCCTGTTGGACACAGAATGGGAGCCCTTGAGGGTCACCTGGCCCCGGTGCTCAGCTGAGGGAGCCTCTTGGTGTTATCTTCTCTCCCACCCAACCCTCATCCTGAAGTCCACATTCTGATTCAGAGGGGATGAGAGTACACCTAAACCTTGCCACTAAGCAGCACTTAAGGAGCCCAAGAGACAGTAATTTCTACCAGGTTTTCGGCTGCCTCACCACCACCATTGTCTGGTTGACACGTCTCGGCTCTCCAGGAGTCTGAGGTTTTCTCTTTGCATGGGTTACCCATTGCCCCCATTCCCAGTCCCACCCCTAGTGGTTCAGTAGCTCAGTGCCAGGGCTGAAACGAGAGACAGCTGGGGGACAACTGGCAGGAGATGGCTTCACCTACCAACTGTGCTCTCTGTTCCCCCCACTCCCCTCCTCCTTGGCCCCTTATCACCTCTGGCAGCTGCGGCAGCCAAGACCAGGTCATGCTCAGCGGCCCAGAAGCCAGGGCAGTTCATCCCACTTCCACCTCTGTGACCACCCATGAAGTGACACAGGCTGACCTGTAACGTCCTTGGAGCGAGATGAGTTCCTCGGGGGTGGTCGCAGGGTGTCCTATTCTTTAACCAGAGGCCAGTGGTTCAGCAGTGCAGCCACAGTGGTGGAAGCACTACTCACCCTTGGTGTCCTTATTTCTAGGCTCAGCCCTGCCGCTAAATTGATTGATGTGTGACCTTGGAAATGACCTCCCCTCTCTGGATTTGCCCAGCTATAAAAGAAAGTGTTAGAGCAGATCTCCAGAGATCCCTCAAGTTCCAAAGTAGTACATGACCCACAAAGTAGAAAACAGTCCCCTAAAAGACCCAGCTATAAATATTATTACCAAATATAATTAATGTGAATATTGTGAATAGCCAATGCTGCTCACAACAGAAGTATTTCCCATCAGAATGAAAAGAACTGATGCCCTCTCTGTTTCTTAGAGCAGTTTGCTAGAAGTGGCTCATTACCATGGCTTTATACTCTTGACTTTTACTTTGCTTGTTATGGTAGTGGGAAAGGACGCCTCATTTTCCTTGCCTCTTTCAAGTCAGCCGTAAGAACTATGTCTTGTGGGAGAGGGACAGACTAGCAGGGAGGCCCAAGGAATGCAGGACTCTTAGAGCCTTAGGGTG